AATCGTACGATTGTCGGCGGGTGTGTGGCATGTTCGCAAGATAAAAGCCGCACGGGCCGGTGTGCGCAAGCGCACACTGCCTGTTTAGCATTGCGGTCATCGGAAGCCTGCCCCTCAATGGGGCGGGCTTGTGATCATCGCAAGTACGATCTGCCTGTCCAAGATAGGCAGATTGTACGTTTTTTCAAATACCTTACAACCATGGCAAGACAAAAGTCTTGCCATGGTTGTAAGGTGTGTGCCCATCTTTAGACTGTAGCTGTGCCTGATACTTGATTATTCATTTTGGCTGCAGTGAACATTATCCTATAGTTTCTTGTATATGGTAGGCCCTGTATGCATTCATTTTATCAGATAGGTCTCTGTTCCTTAAATATTCTTTCTTAGTGAGTCTAAATATCCACGTCCTCAATGAGGACAGGGTTACAGGAAGTGGTTCTCTTCCTCTCCTCCTCATTCTCTTGTTTGTTAAAGAAAAAAAATGAAGGCATGATGGGAGTTTGCAAGATTTCACAAAAACCTATTGAGATGTGATCACACAAAAGCCGAGTGAGAAGGTAAATAACAGCTGTACGTTTTAATTTTTCCAGTTAATGTAAACTAAATGATGAGCGTGAAATAAGTTATACCACGGGCCCCGGCTGTGCAGATCTGTACAAGGCCAGTAAGTCTATTCTAGTGTTATATCCTTTCATTTTAGAGACAACTACATTGTAAAATCTCTTCAATGAGCATTTATTTACCCAGTTCACAGCTACTCTGCTTGTATTTGGGAAGATTTTTTAATTTCCTATTGGTTACAATTTTTGTTTGACACAAATGCAGTTTGGTGGTGATATATTTAAAGCTTTTTTTTGGGGGGGGGGGGGGGGGGGGAACTCCCCTTGCAGTGGGGGCTAACCCTGCACTGCAAGCATTAACTGCTCATTCATTGTGTAAGGGAGCTGTGAAAAGGACTTTTACTTACCTGATCTCCGCTCCTGCTGACTCCAAGACCGGTACCTGCAGGCTCTTCTCGCCCTACTACCAAGTAGTCAAAGGCCTGCGGATGTCTTCACGTACAGTGCAGGACCCTGCATTAACCATGAGGACGTTGAGGCACAGTCCACAAACTGGAGCATAGGGGGAAACTGGGGAGAGTGCCGATTGCCAGGGGAGCGGGGATCAGGTAAGTAAATCCTTTACCACGAGCATTTAATGATTGCAGGGGGTAGCCCCACTGCAAGATTTTTTTTTTTTTTTTTCTCCTACAGCTTTAAAGCAGTATCGCCAGCCTCATGTGTAGGTCTTCCCTCTGCTCCCTTGCCAGTTTTTACTCTGCCAGGTGATTGTGCCACCTTTAGAAAGGGACCCTGCATGCCCCCTAAAACGATGGCTTTATGACCTATGTGATGCTTCATTTAATAAAAGTGCATTTGCACCTTGAAGCACTGGTGCTGGTGACTTCTTCTATTCTTCTGTGGATTCTCATGGCGCCATCTTTGGTGTTCACTACGAGCACCACCATATTCACTTTGGCTGTAGCTCTGTATGGAGTGCAGGTGGTATGTGTATCTTTCTTGGAGTTCCTCAGATGTCTTTTCAAAGGGCATCCTACGCACGTTCTGTCTCTTTGACGCCCAGCTTTGCACAAGACCATTTGCACATCGAGTGCTTGTCATAGGCACACCCCCTGTATTGCAGTGGGTGTCAGTAGCACGTCTCCTATGTCTTCGTTAGATGCTGCATGTAGAGCTGCAGCTAACGATTATTTTCATAATCGATTAGTTAGCCGATTATTAAGTTCGATTAATCGATCGGATTAAAAAAAAAAGTCTCCATTGATGGACTACTAGTTTGTATTGAGATTGTAGTCCATCACGGGAGCAAGCTTGGAGCGGTGGAAGTAAAAAAAAAAAGTGTGGTGTGCAATATAGTACATTATAAAGCGGCACAGTGCAGAATACCAGCAGCTATAGAGGAATGCAGCAAATCGCAGCAATAGTACATTATACTATAATGTATTATTGCTGGGATCTGATGTATTCCTCTATAGCTGGCGTTATTGGAGAGAACGGATATGATGCAGGAATAGGGAGGACGGGTATGATGGTGGAATGGGGTGCAGAGGACGGGTATGATGGTGGAATGGGGTGCAGAGGACGGGTATGATGGTGGAATGGGGTGCAGAGGACGGGTATGATGGTGGAATGGGGTGCAGAGGACGGGTATGATGGTGGAATGGGGTGCAGAGGACGGGTATGATGGTGGAATGGGGTGCAGAGGACGGGTATGATGGTGGAATGGGGTGCAGAGGACGGGTATGATGGTGGAATGGGGTGCAGAGGACGGGTATGATGGTGGAATGGGGTGCAGGGATGGAGAGGATGGGTATGATGGTGGAATGGGGTGCAGGGATGGAGAGGACGGGTATGATGGTGGAATGGAGTGCAGGGATGGAGAGGACGGGTATGATGGTGGAATAGAGTGCAAGGATGGAGAGGACAGGTATAATGATGGAATGGAGAGGACGGGTATGATGGTGGGTTGGGGTGCAGAGGACGGGTATGATGGTGGGTTGGGGTGCAGAGGATGGGTATGATGGTGGGTTGGGGTGCACAGTGTTGGGTCCCAGGCTCCGGGGGGGGGTCGGGGCACTTACTGTCTGAGCATTCCCTCCATAGATGCCGGCTCGTCCCCAGCCATAGTCTCCGTCCCCCGGCTGACACCCGTCACGCTCACATCCCCGGCACCCGTCATGTGATCGGCCCGGCTAGATGTGAGGAGCGTCGGGAGCTGGACCGCTGCGGCGTGCGCGTTCGGTGGGCGTGGCGTGCGCTGCGTGCGGGGCTTGAGTGTGGAGCCGCGAACAGGCTTCAGCGGTGGGCGTGGCTTATGCGTCCTGTGGGCACGGCGGGAGCAGCGTGCGGTGGGAGGTGTCCTGTGAGCACGGCGGGCGCAGCGGTACGTGAGCAGCGTGTGACGTGTGCTTCAGGCCGCGTGTAGAGCCCCGAACAGGGAAATCAATTGATAACCGACGAATCGACGATCGAAAACGTTGGTAACGTTTTCAATCGTCGATTTTAATCGACTAAATCGATTAACTGTTGCAGCTCTAGTTGCATGCTGATGCAACTACTTGGTTACACCCATGGAAAAATGACACTGACCAGAGGGAGGGGGAAGGGGAGCAAACACCTAGTTCATGTTCAAAACTTCAACATACACAGCAGTATTCAAGAAGCATTTGTCTGCTGCTAAAAGAGGAAGTTTTTCTGCAAGCCCACCACCAGTCCCCCAGCCACACTGACTACTAGGACAAGTAGATCCAGAGCAGCAGCTCTATTCCCTGCAGTGCCATATGGTCTCCCTTGCACTGATTGACCATTGCTCAGCAGAAGCGAGAAAAGGGCTTGGATGATTGTTACATGACCGTCTATAAAACTCAGGTTTAAGGCACTGTGACTACATTTTATATAAAAAAGATTGAAAGCTGCACAGTGTGGGGGAGCATCAATGTGTACACTAAAGGGTGAATGCGGCATTTATGAATTACCGGTAGTAAAAACACATAATAAATTGGCAAAAAAATGCCAGAAAGGAGAATGCCGTTTGCATTACCCTTTTGTAAATCGTGGCTAATCGGATTTATTGACTGGCTTGCCCTGGACTGCATGTGATTAGGGCAGCGCTGTTATCTACCAAGAAAAATAATATCCTTGACATGAATGTCTGACTGCTGATAAGACACGGAAGTTACAGAGTTCATCGACTGTCCATGCTCTGTGATCCCACATGTCCTATTTCTCTTTATATTTTTTCTCTTGTTAGCTCATGTGCAGCTGTTTTACCTTTTAACATATTAAGCTAAGATATTAAGATTAATTTATTTTTTTAATATTAAGTAGCCATTTGGTGAACAGCCTTAGGCCTGGTTCACACCTGGGCGTTTTACAGCGCGTTCCTATGCGCTGTAAAACGCTCAACATGTGAAAACCAATAATTGCCTATGGGCATGGTTCCCACCTAGGCGTTTTACAGCGCGTAGGAACGCGCTGTAAAACGCCCTACGCCCAAAGAAGTACAGGAGTTTCTTTGGGGCGTATTTGCCGCACATATCCATTGGGATACAGCCGGATAGCCCCCGGAAACGCGCGTTTCTTTTACCGCAAATCGCAGTCGAAACGCGCGGCAAACACGCATATTCCGTACACCGAGGTGTGAACCCAGCCTAAATGTAATGCCCAGCTTGAGTCTAAACTTTAGTTTTATATGTGTGGGGAGGGTTAGAACATATCTTAGTTTTTTTTTTTTATTGCTATTTGTCGCCTTATTGGGGAGATTTCACTTCACTTCCTTTCAGGACAGGAAGTAATGGAAAACTCCTCACAGGGACACTTCAATCTCAGTACAATCTAGCTGACTAAACGTGAGATTGTAGTCCATCACGGGAATGAGCTTGGAGTGGTGGCTACTTTACAACACACACAGGACTGTGGGGAACACAAATAGCCACCCTCCAAAAGGAGGGACAGTGTCAGCACCAATTCAGAGATGATTTGAGGACCTACAGCTGAGCGATACACACATCAGCTCCTTTTTTTCTTAAGACCCCATACACCCTGAAGCGATTTGTAGCGCAATTTCTGCTCAAACATCGCTCAAATATGAAGCTTAATGTAGCTCATCCAAATGCATTTCAATGGAGCTGCTCACATCTCTCAAAGCTCAATGTCACTTGTAGCTCAAGCTTGTTGCTCGAACATGGCCCATTTTTGTGCGATTTAAACCGACTTTGATAGACTGCCAAAAGAAGCGCAACAAAATGTCCACTGTAGCTCAATGTACCTCAATGTTGCTCAGCTTAAATCTGCTTATTTTGTTGTAGCTCAGTGTGAATGGGGTCTAATAGTTAAGTTACTTGAATGCAGTTTTAAGATTTAACTGAATCACTTTAAGCTTTGCTGACTTCTGGTTTATCAGTTGCTGATCAGCTGAACTAACATATCTCTTTTCTACAGGTGGTTTCCTGAAAACATGATTCTGCACTAGCCTTGCCTTTCATCAGAAAGGGCTTTGTCTCCCAGTATGTCAAGTTCAGGGTATCCTCCTAACCAAGGAGCTTTTAGCACTGAGCAGAGCCGCTACTCCACCCACCCAGTCCAGTATACCTTCTCCAGCAGCAGACACCAGCAGGTTAGTAATTTACTATACTTCAATACTATATGTATACTATACAATATAAGCTAAAATAATCCACCAGCAAGAAAGATTTTACATTCAAAGGTAACTGACATTGCAACTGGGCCATTGTAGTTTATTGCAATAAGAACATTTTTACATTTATTGAAGCTTCCCTTCACCCCCCTGTGAGGTTACTTGGCAGCATTATCAGCTGTAGGAGGCCAGCTGCTCTGTGCGTGTCAGAGGGTGTTCTTTAGACTCATGTTTGATCCAGTTATCCTCTGTTTAGAAGAATAAGGGGATCTTGCCTGAATCTGAGAAAAGGCTAATTGTTCAGCTGTTTCCAGCTTGACATGCTGCCCAAATGATTGGACAGGAACTAGCCTGAGGGTTCAAAGTATAGGTAAACCCAATCACAAAAAGCTCATACGAGATTTAACATGTTAGTCATTTCAGAAGGGAATTTTAATATTTTTAAATTGGCAAATTAAAAAAAAAAAAACCCTGGTAATCCTGCCATGAAAGTTTGTGTTCAGGCACTTCTGGTATAGGGTAATGGCGCTTGGTCCTTTATTCTAAGTTGGTCTCTTGCATTGTCGGCCTGTCAACATTCACACAATGGAGGCTACAAGTGGTCGTGCCAACACAAATTGCACAGGCTTGGTCTACTTAACACCATCAGGAGAGCCACCCTGAGAAATGGTGTGCTTTAGTTGCTAGAGAATGCCTGTAGGAGATCAGCATTTCTGATATTCAAGTAATGTACCATCAGCTTATAGTAGAACTGTAAATGCCAGGTCCGTATGGCATACTGTAAGTATTCTGTTGAATCAAAAGAAATGCCTGTTTTTTATTAAATATGGAATAAACAATTATGGATGGCAATTACTTTTGTTTAGTTATTCCAGAGAAAATTAATATAATCCTTAATATTTTGTGCTTCTCAATATTGACATAAGGGTTGGAGAGAAATACATTGGCGGTTCTGTCTGTTTTATGGGTCATTGCAGACTAGCCTTGAGATGTATTACTTGATGATTCATTAGCATGATGGATGCCCTCCCTTCCTGATTATTAAATAAAAGTATAGGGGGTGTTGCGTTGAGACACATTCTGCCTGTTCAGGCTGTTAATTCTTTTTTAGTGCTCATCAGATCCTGCTATGAGTGAGCTTGCTGGACGTGATTGCAGCCATATTATGTAACAGTGATTTATTTAAGGAACAGTTTATTGTCATGGGACAAAGCAGCTGTTTGCAGTAAAATTTTGAGTAAATGCAGATAAGGTTAAATTTAAGATTGTAATTTTCTTATTTTTGTAACCTGCCGGCAGAGTAGTTTTCGGCCCCTCCTTTGTACAGATTTGAGTATGTTTTAAGGATAAACTCTTAATCAATGGTATTAAAATACCAACCAGTTACATTTTAAAAATGTAACTTAATTAGAATATCGTGCAAAAGTAATGGCAGTAATTGCTGCAAAAGGGGCCCAAACCAAGTACTGAGTACATATGCATGCTTGTACTTTTCAGAGGTCCGATATTGTTCTATGTACAATCCTTGTTTTATTGATTGCATGTAACGTTCTAATTTTCTGAGATTGTGGATTTGGGGTTCTTGGGGTTTTCATGAGCTGTAAGCCATAATCATCACAATTATGACAAATCACGGCTTGAACTATCTTGCTTTGCATGTAATGAGTCTATCTCATATATTAGTTTCACCTTTTAAGTTGCATTAGTGAAATAAATGAACTTTGCACGATATTCTAATCGAGTTTCACCTGTAGCAGACTGTATGTGAGCAGGCAACAGATCAAGTCTGTTGACTCAAGGAACCAGTTTACAGTTTGTGTTTTATTTTTTAGTTAAAGAAATCCTGCATGAGCAAAACATTGTATTACTTTGATTTTTGAATGAATTAAAATGGGCAAAGAGCCATAAAATGAAATGCGTTCTTAGTGGGCTGAATCCTTGGAAAATTCTTCATTTGAAGCTAAATCTTACAGTATATAATATCATTTAAACAATTCAGTGTCAGCGCTACTCTGAAATGTTACAGCGTATCAATTGGTGAACCCAAGTGTAAGTATAACCTAATCAAGTCAAGAATCTAACGTCGCAGAACCTTATAAAGATCCTCAGTATTTACCACTTGTACATGACTCTGACTTTCAGCTCTCATTTGTTCCCATGCAAGTTAATACGTCTCAGTTCAGCTGACAGATCTTGCCACATTACTCAATCTGTTCAATAAGCAAACCCTACAATGGTAAACAATACTCTTAAAAAGTGAAGCGTGATATAGAGTACAATGCTCCTAGTGTTCTACACTCCGTGCGATGTGTTGTGTAAAGTGCCAATCCTCCGCCTAACAGTTGTATTCCAAGATTGTGGCAAGCTGCTTTCAGTAAGGTTTGTTAAACAGATATGATGCAGCACTCAATGATTGTTGTGTAATACTGAGGTGTCTGCGACATTGCCTCTTGGATGCCCTCTGCCAAGCTTCAATTTTTAAGTGTGTTGATTTTAGCATGTCAATAAAACACACTTTATCTCTGCCCAAGAAGAAGCTTCTTTTGCACACACTATTCTAGAGCTTGCTCGTTGTGCCAATCGGGTTACAAGCCCTGTTAAGCCATCTAAACCAGGAAGTGTTCACTTGGATAGGGACAACTGAGAGAGGACGTGACAAAGCGTTTGTACGCAAGTGGCAATTATTGCAGACATTTATAAGGCAAACTTGATTTAAGAATGCATTCTCTTCCGTATAGAAAAAAGAAATCAAAATCTGTAGTCAGTGTCATAATCTCCATCTACATGTTCCAGGGAAAGAATTTACATCTCTGGATGGACGTAAGGGCCAGGCAACTAGAATTTCCAAATGCAGTGTACAATAAAGGCTGCCTATGTATTTTAAAAATAACTGGTATGACTCTACCACTTAGAAACCGTGATCATATGTGCTATTGACCCTAATTTTCTAGTTCCTCCTCCCTAAGGATGGTTTCGCACCTGGGCGTTTTTCAGCGCTGATCGAAGCGCTGAAAAACGCTCAAGCAGTGAAATCCCAAAATTTCCTATGGGCATGGTTCCCACCTGGGCGTATTTCATCGCGTTTTGACGCGCTGAAAAACGCCCTACGCTCGAACTAGTACAGGAGCTTCTTTTGGGGCGTATTTCCGTGTGTATCCATTAGGATACAGCCGGGTAGCGTTCGTCAAACACGCATATTACGTACGCCCAGGTGTGAACCCAGCCTTAGAAAATCTACCAGATAATCCCACATACCTAATGCGAATGGAAGTAGGGCACTTTAGAGAGTTCAACATATTCTGTGCTTTCACTTCTCTTATGTTTACATGGGTGTTTATTTATTTTTTAACATTTTTTTTCTTTCCCCCTCCAGGAGTTTTCCATACCAGAGTACCGCAATGCTCATTTGGAAGCCTCCCAGCTATTGCAGCAACAGCAGCTCAGAAGACGGCCATCTTTGTTGTCTGAATTTCACCCAGGGTCTGATAGGTATGCTTGTTTTTTATAAAAAAATTACTCAGCCAGTCACCAATTGCTGGCATGCGAAGTTTTGGCTTGCTGGGAATTTGTTTTCAGGTGACTGTTTCCTTAACAGAAACACTTGAGTATTGAAGGATTACAAATATTCTTTGTAAGAAGTGATCAATCTTTCATCATATTGGCTGAAAAGGGCTGTGACCAACATAGCTTTTATATGTATTTGGTAGAAGGTAGTATTTACATGAGTGCTTTTTACTTTGCTGACTCAGGTAAGTGGAGAGCTGCAGGGAAAGCTAATTTTTTCAGTTCCTTCATTCGGACAATTGTCGCTCTGTTTGGTAGCTAAAGCAAAATCTGACTTGCAGAGCCCTCTGTGGTTTCAGCTGCGCCCTCAGTCTTAAAAGGCCTCCACGTGTGATCGCTACCTGCTAAGGTGAACGCTGTTTATCTTCAATCACGTTGATTAAATGCAACTGAAATTCTTCTGCTATACGAGCGCTCCGTTAAACCACATTGGAATGCTTGTTGGGTTCAACAGATTGCTTGCTAGACAAATCTGGTTTCCTTGTAAAATAAGCCGCCAGCCGCTTAGCCCAGAGCTATGCATAAATTTGCTTTTTCAAGTGTTTCGAAGTATGTAAATCAGCTTCTGGTAATGCAGCTTGCCTTTTGACCACACCATGCACAAATATTAGTTTTGAAATTATTTCACTTGATAAATTAAGACTTGGAGCTTATCATGAGTGTTTTAAGCAATGCACCTCTGTAAGTAGTATTATGTTCACTTTTAGGCGTTGATTAAACCTTTTACTTTTCAGATGGGTTCATCAATAAAACAGAAGAGACCACTATAGTGTGCTATAATCATGGATGCACCGATACTAGTATACCGGAACTTCCCTTTGACCGGCAGTGCCGAGGGAGCATGGTGCCGGCTTCCTTTCCAATCAGGAAGCCAGATGTTGGGTTATGACCCGCCTCCATACGATTTATATTTACCAGAGACACCTAGAAAGATATTGCCCAAATATTCCATGCTTAAAGACACATTTTGCCCATTTTAGGACAATGCCAGTTTAAAACTCACCTCCCAACCATTTACTCCCTTTACTCACCTGAACTTTATTGCCTGCATGTGCATTTAAGGGTTATTATGAACGTGTTATAACCTTTTTTGGTTGCTTCATCTTGGTCTGAGAATTCCTTTTTGTCCGATTTATGAAACCCCTTATGGCGTTTGTATAACCTTTTCCTGTTTTTGATTTTGCAGGCCTCACGACAGAAGAACAGGGTATGAGCAGCAGTACCATTCAGTGGCACAAAGTGATCATGAAGCCCTGGAATCCAAAAGACCTCGGCTAGAACAGGTAGATTCACACTACCGAGTTGCTTCGGCTTCTGTCATGCCTCTTGTACCAAGCATCCCAGAGGGGCTTCGGCAGCAAGCGGATATTAAGAAGGTATGATGTTTACAATGGAAAGCCTTAGTAAACCACCTTCATAGAAAGAAATGAATATAAAATAGGGCTTGCACATGCTAGCACATTACACACACAAAAAAAAAAACACTAATGTTTTTTTTGTGTGACATAAATTTTAAATATTGTACTATGGAATGTCCATAGTTTGCCTTTCAATCTTTGCTTAACCCCTTCCCAAAGGATTACGGAATTATGCCGTCACCTTCGTTCAGTTCGTTAACGACCGGTGACGGGATAACTCCCATCAGTCGTGGCAATGAGCGATGGTCTGTGAAGGGACCAGCAGCTCATTGAGATACTGCTGTTGATGGGTCCCTCCAGGGTCCGAGGCAAACCATCAACAGCTGATTAGATGGTCACAGTTCTCCTGATCATAGTGAGAGCTGATCGCTGGGATTGCAGAGCTGTGACAGTCACACAGCCGGCAGCTGCTCACTGTGTTTTGTAAACAGCTAGCTGGCTGTGTTTACAAACTGATACAAAGTATCTCTGAGCAGAATACTGTATTCTACTTAGAGATGCTAAATGTCAAACCCCTTGTAAATAAAAAAATTACCTCTTGGTGCCCCCTAGTTTAAAAAAAATTAAAAAGAAAAGTTTGAAGAAAAGTAAAAAATTAAAGTAAGTTTAATAAAATGTAAGAAAATATATTGCTGAGGAGGCTATTTGACGATAGGAGACAAACTTGCCACATTCTAAAATTGTTCCACATTAAAATGATATTTCACTCCTTGTATTTTGTGATCTTTAACACCCAAAATAAACAAATACCAGACACACGATATACCCTATAAATTTATTATGAATTACTTTGTTAGCCATAATTCTCATTTAATTGTATTTGTAAGAAATAAAATAATTTCAATATGCTTATTATAGAAATTCTTATTTTTTTTCGTATCAAAAGGACACTTTTGTCCTTTTAAAAAAAACCGGTATAGAATATGTGTAGTGCAATGAATGAGGAAGATGGAAATTATGGTTAAACACATAGCAAAAATGGCAAAATTGCTCCGTCCCCAGAAGCGAAAACGTTTTCTGAACCTATGTCACTAAGAAGTTAAAGGGTTTTTCAACTTTGTTTGAAAATTCCCGCCTTAAAAAGTCCATGTAGCACTTTGTCCTGTTCAAATCTGTTCCTTGGTTGCTGAGTTAGCGTGGTCGGCAGCTTGACAACACACTTCTCTCACTGCTCTTGCCACGTTGCTAGCAAGGAGACTAATTTTTTTTTTTATTAGGTCTGATTGACAGGTACTAAGAGGAGTGGTGGCGGTGATGGACAGCACACACAGAGGAGAAGGGGCATAAGAGCTATAGCACTAATCTAATCTAGCTCTGAGCCTCCTCTTCTCTGCCTTGTACACTGAGAAAAGACTACGGAGTCCAGACCCGTCATCCTGCAATTGTGGGGAGAGGTAGTAGCTGCCAGCTTGTGTTGTGAATGACAGCAGCTTAAGACTAAGGACTTCATAAAAGTTCTGTGCTGTAAAACCCAATGGGATTGTCCACAAATTGGGCTCCAGACTGAAAAAAATGCCCATTAACAGCACAATTTAGCCATGGATCAGCATGAGAAAATGTTTTCCATGCACTTGGTCCACTGTGGGATAGTGTAAGGGATGAAAAAAAAACTTGGGTGATAGCTCTTTAAATCTCTTAAGTTTCATAGACCATCTCCAAACACACCCACAAACTGTAAGCAACATCTTGGTCACTGTTATTTACAATGTATTATGTGAGAGTGTTTTCATTTTAAATTCTGTGGAGCCACAGTGCTAGTAAACTAGCATTACGCATAAGATTATGGTTTCGAGTGATGGATCTTGTCATGTGATCTATAGCATACTAAAATAAAGTACCGCTGTTAGATGCAGTTAGGACTTCTGTTTTAAAATGAAGAAGAGTTTTTGCCATTCAAATGTCATGCCATCCTGCTTGCACCATCGAAATATATATGGTTGCGGTTAATGTAAGCTTTAATTAATGGTTAATATTTGGTATTTTTAAGGACCAGGGCTTGTCTAGTAAACATGAGCCCCCTTCATCTCCCCTGTCTGGGCAGCCAGGTGAGGACCAGGATGCATTCCCCTCCAAACTCTCCAAGGAAGAATTGATACAGAGCATGGATCGGGTGGACCGCGAGATTGCTAAAGTTGAACAACAAATCTTGAAATTGAAGAAAAAACAGGTATGACATTGCTGAAAACTCTGCTTTGATCTAGCAAAGTAAAGTAAAAAAAGTAGGGCAGCACAGTTATCAACCCTTTGCTGACTGCGCTGCCATCCTTAGTGATTAAAACTTTGTTATTAAGTGGCCCTTGTTCTCAAAACTGCCTCCGGTAACCATTATCTGCATTTCCCCCAAACATCCAGTATCAGACTGACTTTCGGAGATTTTAAATTTTGAATCTCATTGTTTGCTATGGCTTTTTTTTAGCCTACTATTCAGAGTGAGGCCGACCTTTTGAGCGTGAGTGTTTCTGACCCTGAGGAGCCAAAGACACAATCTGATTCCTACATTCCACAGTAATGCATGTGGAGGAAACATTTTAGTGTGATCTACTGTATATCGGTAGCAGTATATCAGTCTGATAAAGACAAATATTCCGTTTTTGGAATCCAGGTATGCTAAAGGAACTCCAAAATCAACTTCTTAAAATGATGGGGAAATGGGGCATTTATTATGTTTGTTGATTGGTATTGGTTTATATTGATTATTTATGTAGGTGTTAGGTCTAATGCTGGCAATAGGTCATTCTATACATGGAATCGTTGATGTGTACAGTGTTTTCTCCGCATTTCGGTTCTTGGTGCTGTTGTATGTTCTCCTCTTCTCACCTGTCTGTTATAGTTATGCAGAAATTCCTTAAGAGAACTCGCATGTAGTTCCAGATATGTTTCTTCAGTGTAAAGCTTTGCAGGGCAAGAAGGCCTGTTGTCACTACCCAAAGCTACCAATTTAGAGTAAACTCACCCAGAGCAATATTACAATTTTGAATACATGATTATGTGAAATCCTCCCGCTAGATGTCAGGTACAGTCTCTCCTTTCACATGCTCACAAAGCTTACTAGTGGCTGTGGATAGGCAGATGTTGCTACAGGAATTGTGGCCAAATATTGTCCCGTCCTTGATTTAAAGGGGTTCTAAAGCCTGCGTGTTTTTTGCCTATATCTACTGCTAGCACGCAGTAGATATAGGCAAAAAGTTTTAAAAAACCAAAACGCTTTAACAGCGATTTAAACTTACCTCGTTATCGCTGCATGCTCCCGCGCCGAGAATCTGGAACTGCTCGTGCGGCCGCAAAGGATCTCGGGGCGCAGTTCGGATTCTCGGCCGGGAGACGAGCAGAGACGCAAGGTAGGTCTATGGATGCGTGCACCCGCATGCAGACACCGCTGGATCGGAGGGGAGGGAATTTTTTTTGACTTTAATGTCACTTTAAGTCTTAAGCTTTGGAACTGCCATGATTGTCTGATAGTGATGGCTTTGCATGTCAGGAGGTTTCTGTTAAACTCTTATACATGTATTGTACCTGCTTATTTTTTCAACAATCTCCTAGCATTTGAGAAGCAAGCAGGCATTGATGGGCCTTGTGATCGCATTGTGGTCGGAGAGCGTGGCTGCGGTGCCATTCACTTAAATGTACCGCCACGCCCCCTCCCTCCCCACAACAAAATGAGCCGGCCGCAATGTGATCCAGAGCGTTCCGGCCACAATCGGGCCGGAACGCACTGAGGATGGTGTGAATGAGGCCTAAATGGTGAGCAGGCATGGGCAGATTGTTACCTGATGAGTCCTACTAATGCTCATGTGTGAGTTGCTCTCTGTTGGTCTTATGATCCTGCCACAGCTGTCAGTAGATCTTCTCTCACTGATGCAATTCTAGGAAGTGGTGCCATTGTACAGGAAATGTTACCAAAACACACTTATTTATCCAAGGGAAAAGTGTTTGCATTGCCCCATACTCACCAATCAGATTCAAACCTTCAGGCTCCAGTAGAAGTTTCCTTTTGAATCTGGTAGGCTGATATGAGTGTGTTCTAATGAAAAACCCTTTAAAGGAGAACTATGAGGTGAGAGCCTGTCACGGCTCTGCCATGACAGGGGAGGGACTGGATTTCCCCCCTCCCCGCTCCGATCCCCCAGCGCTGACTGGCGGAACGGACAGGGGAGGGGGCGGGTACAGCTAGCTCTGCCTCTAGATAGGCAGAGCCAGCTGTCACTCACGCAGCTGGGCGGATCCTGACATAATTGTCGGGATCCGTTTCAGCTGCGGCATCTCAGTATACCGCAAGCTGTAGGTCGCGGTATACTGAGCTTAGGGTGACGGGAGGACGCTAGTTTGTGTCCTCCCGTTACCCTAAAGAGAACTATGGGGAAACGCCCTAACCCCATAGTTCTCCTTTAATAGCCCAGGATGGGCATTTTTCGGGATGAGGCTGCTGTGGGAACTTTGCAGTGCGTCTCTAATCATTTGAGTCCATTCCTCCAGCCAAACAAAATTTCTGCTTTTGAATAGATTTGCTCTTTCAATTAGAGGACTCGGATTACAAAACACATGGCAAATCAACTGAATTACTCCCAGTCTCGCACTCCTGTATACCGTCAAAATGCAAGAATATAAACCGTTGCTTTGCGATTTCTATCTGATTAGAAGCTGATTGGAGTTCCACAGTTTGATATTTTTTTTTCCCCCTCTTGTGTAACTTAGCAACAGCTTGAAGAAGAAACAGCCAAACCTCCAGAGCCCGAGAAGCCCGTCTCCCCTCCACCTGTGGAACAGAAACATCGCAGCATAGTCCAAATTATTTATGATGAAAACCGGGTAAGTGGCCTTCTCTTCTACGACATTATCTTGCCGCTTTGCTAATGAGTCACTTGGGGGGGGAGTTACTTTTATAATAGGCAGGTTGGCTGTGGCAAACCTAATTGTCAGTGAATTCCTTCTTGTGCACAATTAGCGCACTTTTTATGGCCAAAGTAGTGTTTTTTTGTTTGTTTTTTGCATTGGGTACATGATATTGTTTTACAAGTGAAATGTTGATATTTGGTTTTCTGGTGGAGGTGATAGTTCTGAGCTTTTTATTATAAAGAAGTTGCACTGCCCTATTAATAATGCCTGTTAAATATTTTGTGGTATTGATAATGGTTTGTGATTATTACATAGGTTAGTGTTCAGCGTGTAATTTATTGCATTCCACCCCCGGAAAAATCAGGCAGTGTGACAGTAGGGAGATTGGTTAGAACAAACTATATCACTGGCAGCAGTGCTTAACCCCTTCATGACTGAGCTTGTTTTTAGTTTCTGTTCGTAAATGACTGACACACTTTTGACATTTTTGCTGTGTGATTCTTCCACGTCAGAATATACTTTCTTACAAAGTGCACCTATAATAAGTTAGTGACACTGATCCTGCAGCAGTTCAGGATTCAGCTGTTACTAAAGGTTTTCTGATTGTTGCAACAACGATCAGCAAACTGAAACATTCTTCTTCCAGGAATAGATACATTATAGGAATAGACACATTATGTATCTATTCATGAAAGAAAAAAAAAAAAGCCAGTATAGCTTGAGAGAGATATCTCTCTCGATCTATACGAGCTGTCAGAATGCCGGCAAAAGCCGACATGTGTGTCCGCTTTGCTTTGACTCTCAGACACCCGATATTAAGGTATCGGGTGTCTGAAAAAGGTTAACCCTTTCATTAATGAATGCCTCTGTAGTAAGGGCAGCCATTAATGAATGTTAAAAGCTGATTCTCAGCGTTTAACAGCCCTCTAAAGAAGCAAATAACTCGTCACGTACAGTGTACGTGACAAGTCATTTGGTCCCTTTGTGGCTGGACGTACAGTGTACGTCTCCCGTCACGAAGGGGTTAAACCATTGTAGCAACTATCTTTTTTTTTTTTTTAAAAAGAAAAATAACATTGAATAAAAGGCGACTTATGTAAGCACTGCTGGCAGTGTGATAGCATGCCCCAACCTCTGGCAGTGTCACTTTTGCTTGGCGGCTTGCTCTGTAAATGTGGAGTTAAGCTAAAGGTATGTGAAATCAAATGATTAGTATCTAGCATACTGCATACTAACCACATAGTTATCGGAATGCATTTTTTTTTTTTTTTGTGGTAGTGTTCCTTTTAAAGCATGTGAGTAAAATGTAATCTCCCTGCCAGAAATCTAGTTTTTCCCCACTGTAGTCTCACTGTTTTCAGCCAGTTTGGTCAGCATGGTGGTGAAATGTACATTTAAAGTGACCTGGTTGCTATAGCAAAGTTTTTATCTAGCCACATACTCAAATTTCCTGCTGTCCATGCCGTGGAAACCTACTTGATGCTGCAAAATCTACTACTGAAGTCAAAAGTGGAAACCGACACTTCAAAGAGTGTCAGCCTTCTGAGTCCCTCACAGCTCATACTGGTTTCTTGTGCTGACCTTCACCTGTTACAGGATACAGTAGTGATGTGGAGGTCTGTCAGGGGAACCATTATGAGCTGCAGGTGACCCAGGAGATACACTTTTGGAGGTGTCTGTTTCCCTTCTGACTTCTGCAGACTATTTCTCAGGATAAGGATGGCGTTCGACAGCACGAGCAGCAGGAAAGGGGACTACTTTTACAGCTATGGCCGATTTTAAACCATTTTCTATAGCAACTGGGTCTCTTGCATGGATATGCAAAATGTGTTGACCCACAGCAACTATAAATCGGTTTAATCATCCGTCCGTTTTTTTTACTACGGGCGGACGGCAAGAGGTTAAGTTGCACTTGGGTTGGTCACAAATTGGTTACCACAGGTTTCTGCATATTGTGGTTTTGACAGCTTTGAACGTGATTTGAGTAGTGAGAGGCACAACGGCAAATCATTGGAAATATAATTTGTTTTTAAACAATCAGCCCAATCTTATTTATTACACGCATTTATATGGCACCGACAATTTACACAGCTCTTTACTTACTGCACATTCCCATAAGTCCCTGCCCTCAAGGAGCTTACAAATTAAGGTCCCGATTGTACATACGTACATGGCCAATTTAGACAGTCGGTTAACCTACCAGCATGTCTTTGGGGTGTGAGAGGAAACCTGAGTACCCGAAGAAAATCCAATCAAGCACAGGATTTGAACCGGGGACCCCTATGCAGCAAGGCAGAAGTGCTAACCACTAAGACACTGTGCTGGTCTCATAAGAAACAGGCTTGCTTGTCTCCATCCTGGTCAGGAAAGATAAATTTTTTAGAGGTCAGATCATTGGTAGTCCACCACCATATAATCTGTGGATATATTAAGCCAAGACATTGACACCTACGTTATCATGTTTATTAAATTCAATGTGTTAATATGTAAATGATTAGCACTAAAAATGTCCGTCACTGACCTGTTTTTTCTTCTTATAAGTGTGCTGAATTTTTTTAAATGTCTTTGTCTAATTAAATACCTCTGATAGGCACTGCTTACATCTAAACTGACAACATATCCCCAGGGTTAGTTCAGAAAACAGAACTTTCTCTGAAAATAGGTTACTGCTTTCAGGGTCCTCATGGCTCTATCTGTCATATATGAAAGAATAAAACCTTCTACTCCCCAGTATTTGATAGCTGAGTGCGTCTGAATCTGAAGAAAGCCCTGCTCCAGTCGACCAATATAAGGGCTTTATCCATGTTTCAGTGTCAGTTGTTATGATGCTGGCCACAAAGACAGCAAATCAGTCTTGGGCTTGCTGACATCACTTATTTGACTTTAGCACGTAAGCCACCTATTGCAAATCATCTTCTGCATAATAAATAAAAAAAATTATATTCAAATTGGATTGATTGGTAGAATACTCAAACAGGAATCATTAAAATCATCCTGTTCAAATTGCACGTAGGGTTCTGGTCTGCAAAGTGTAAATAAGTATTCCATTCAGCAATGCAAAGTCATATTGGGTAAATTGTTCCTGAAAACTGTATAATATTTTGACAACTATGCACATATATGTAGTCTTGTGTTTATAGTGATTGGTTTATGTGATGTATTACAATCTCAATACAAATTAGTAAACTAAACATGAGATTGTAGTCCATCCCGGGAGTGAGCTTGGAGCGGTGACTACTTTACAACACACACAGGGACCATGGGGAACAAAAGTAGCCACCCTCCAGAAGGAAGGACAGTGTCAGCACGAATTCAGAGATTATTTGAGGATCTACAGCTAATAGTGATACACAAATAAGATACATTTTTGTGAATAGTTAAAGTACCGTGCTTGAATGTATTTTTAAGATTTAACTCCTGAGTTTAGTGTCGCTTTAATATACTTGTGTACCACCTGTCATGTGAGAAATATGCTATCATTGCTGATGACATTCAGAAAATTCTTATTGTCTGGCTTCAGTATATTTTGAGTCACTGATAAAGAGCAACCTGACCCAGGGGGTGAAGGTATATTCTTATGCGTTTTCGGTAGCGATGCACCGATACTAGTATCGGTGCCGATATCGAGTATTTGGGCGAGCACTTGTACTCCCTCAAATGCTCCGATGCCTAGCCCGATACTTCTGGTTTCAGGAAGCCGGGCAGCGAGTCATTACAGGAAGCTAGCCAAACAGGAAGCCAGGCGCCGTCTAATGACGTGGCGGCCGGTTTCATGCTCCCTCGTCACCTCATGACGAGGGAGCATGGAGCCGGCTTCCCGGCCAATCAGGAAGCCGGGCGCCAGGTCATTACACGACGCCCGGCTTCCTGATTGGCCAGAAAGCTGGCTCCATGCTTTCTTGTCAACTAGTGACGAGAAGCATGGGGACGGCTTCCCTGCAAATTGGGAAGCCGAGTGGCGAGTCTTTACACACCGCCTGGCTTCCTTCCGGTATCTGTATTCGGTATCGGCGAGTACCGGAAAATAAATATGAGTACGCGATACTGAAAAACCGGTATCGGTCCATCCCTAGTTTTTACTAGTAATGCATAAAATTTTGGTAATACAATTTTTTTTTACAATAAAATAATTCCTTATGTTAGAATCTAGAATTACTGAAGGAGTCATACACTCTATGAAATCATGTCTGCTGGAACTGATGGGTACTTATCACTCCCTGTTGAATAGTATTTTTTAGCACATTGATTCGTAATCTGCATTATTCATAATAACGATGTGGCCGCCTTTATCTGACTGCTTTATCGTAATTCATTTGTAATTGTGATAAGCAGAGTGCTGTGATCTAGTAACATTGGAGGCTTTCGATGATTGTTTAGACTCATGGGACACATACTGAATTGTAAAGGGGGAAATGTGCATGATTTCTCCTTGTATGTTTGGGGCATCTGCCCAATGGTGGTTTGCATTGAGGAGTAAACAATGGGTTATCAGCCATAAAGTTCCGAGCCATGTATTTTTTAAAATGCTCAGAAGTAGCAAGCGAACGTCTAGTAGGGTTCCTAAACTCCTCATTGATTATTTTTAAAGTTAATTGCGCGCAAAAAAAGAGTTCCTTTCTAAGCTCAAATTTAACCATCGTTTGTTCTGGGCAGACCGTCAGCCCAAGTCTTAATACCTCCAATTATGTGTCTGTAATTACATGCATAGGGAGATTATTGATGTCTAAATCTTGTCTGCCTGTACCGTGCTGATCACAAAGTGATCCAAACTGCCTTTCTTCAGTTCCATCCCCTCATTTTGGGCTGTGATCGGTGCACCTAAAAAAAAGGTTGTTTTTTGGAATTGCTCCCAAAGGGGACTGATCCCATGAGAGTGCATACGCTGAAGAATTTGATGCATTAGCAAGTGTTTATGAATTGTTAGGTTGACTCAAATAAGTGGTGACCGCAGAGTAATCTTGTGACGTGCGAAGAGACTGGGAATGTGCAAAAGTAGATGTGCATCTGAGCAGTGCATGACTGGTTGGTCTGGTCTACACTTTGTCGTGGTAAAGTGTTCTTACCCCTAGAGGGCCGATGCTCAAATTTTGTTTTCTTGGGATACTGATTTGTTGTGCGAGAAGAATAACCACCGCCTGAATAGTTGTGCGCTTACGTATTCTAAATGAAGACCTATTAGAATCGTCACATCAGATGCCTGTGAGGGACAGTTGTTCATTATATTTCCAACCACATTATTTGTTTTGTTCTCAAACTTGGAGGTTTTGGTATTTATGTCCAGTATTCCATTTGTATGCATAGCCATTGACGAAAGCTATCCTATCCCTCTCAAACTTTTTTTGTTTGTTGGCCAACATAGTTCTGTTAAATTTCTCTATAAATGCTCTTAATTGCACTTTTTCTTGATACCTAGGATTAGACCTGATGGGTATGGAGTCTTTCTGATGGTCTTGTAATTGAACATCCACATTAAATATTTCCTGCTTATGTCCAATTAACATTTCCATCATATTGGCTGTACAACTTAGTAAATTTGCCTCCCATGAGGCTTTAAACTCAGGGGTCACATTGGTCATTTTGGAAAGATATTTTAATTCTCATCCCCCAAGGAATAAAGTGGACCTTTACCCCCTTTTACTAAAAAATCATATTAGCATGCAGCTCTGCATGCTGACTTAAAATAGTCTTACATTCATTAAACAAACTTGCTTTTCATTTACTTACATATAGAGTTCATCTACTTCCTGGTATAATAGGAAAAAATTGCAGAAAATTCAAAAATGGCTTGGCCAGCTGATTTGAAAAATGTTCCGGAGGGCTTGGCAGCGAAAGGGTTAATCTCATGAGATCTCAGGGAAAGGTACTTTCCTCCCCTGAGATGATGTGCATGGTCACATGTCCTAGTCACATGTGCCAGAGTTCCAGGAAGTAAATGGAGATCTAGTAACCTGCCCTTAGTTAACATGGACACTGTCAGAAGACTGGGAAAGAAAAGAGAAATAAGATATGTAAAGAATACAAAGCCGGCAATTATCTAGAAGTATGTGTTTGTAAATTTGCCATTGCTCCACATTTCTAAAGGTGTTTTTTATTTTTTATTTTAAACATATGGGTAAAGATTCTCTTTAATATTTTCTTGAATATATTTTTCTACATAACGTACTGTCCAAAATAATTTGGATTTCTTCTCTAGTAACTTTATAAGCTTGAAAAAATATGTTCCTAGTGAATCAGTGCTCAGAGACCGCTCCTGCTGGAACTGGGCCATTGATCCCTCCCAGGCAGCTCCTATTTACTCAGACATTATGCACAACTAAGAGGAGGGGAAAAAAGGTGGTTTGTGTATATCTGCTATAGAGAGAGACAGACAATTATGTACACCCACCCATTACCACAGTCTTGTTTTTGAAAGAAACATGACAAAGGGTTTCCAAAGCAATCTGTGTTAGCTAAAGTGACAGCATAGCTAAAGAATATTGTACAGCTACCATAACTTGGCACTACTCAGACCAAGTCTTGTCTTCAGTTATCTCTTGCAGAGCTTTTCAAATCTGACACAGTTGGGTGCCCAGGAGTACAGGCCCAAACACACTAAACCTATGGCAGGGACTTTGCTAATAAGTTAGGCCTGGTTCACACCTGGGCGTATTACAGCGCGTTCCTACGCGCTATAAGACGCTCAACATGTTTAAACCAATGATTGCCTATGGGCATGGTTCACACCTGGGCGTTTTACAGCGCGTTCCTACGCTTTGGTGTGAACCCAGCCTTAGAGGCAGCCTGATTTGTGTCTTTGTTGCTAATTTGCTCGACAAATGCTCCTCGATGCATTTGGTAAACAACTGCCTTTTTTTCTGCACTGCCGAATTATCCTGAATGTGTGAAAAGGAGGTAGCAGCTCCGCTGACTGGCTAGAAGGCCGGATATTTAACCTTTTTTTTTTAATATATATATATATGGATGCCGTCATTTTTATTTTAAACCAATGTATATTGCTGATAAGGAACTGCATTTGGCAACTTTCCACTTTCAGATTTCTCAGACATGAACAACTTTGTGATTACCCTTCAGACTGTTTTTTTTAAATGCAACCTTTATATGACCTCTGTGGCTTAGATGGTGTAGAGGAAGGCCTTGAAAAAGAGAACATTACAGACGTTTTGTATCCTTGCAAATGAAATACACAACATTTCTGTTTTGCAGAAAAAAGCAGAGGAAGCGCACAAGATTTTAGAAGGTCTTGGTCCTAAAGTGGAACTGGTAAGCAGATTGTTTTGTGAGCCTATGCATGGGTATCATTTTGAAATCTTCATGTCTTGCTGATAATAACTCTTTGCCTAATGTGGACTGCCATGTAAGTTTGATAGTCTCCTTGATGACTTTTACAAATACATGCTCCATGTAAGTTTGTTTTTAAGCACTCATATTAAGACAAATTTGTTAGCCAAATATTAACATTTTCCTGCTTTGTTAACCATATCAAAACCTCACCCATGTCCATGAAGGCTTAGTGACATTAAACACTCAGATTTTTTTAACATAAAACAATACTGTAATGTGTGCCTTACTGTAATCCATGGTTGTTTCCCTTCTCTTTGCTGCTCTTCCTTTTAAATCTGTATCTGTTCTCATGCTCTGCAGAACTTCTGTTTTGCAGCAGACTGCCTTGTCTCAGGAATGGATACACGGTGTCTGTGTATCCGTTTGTATAGGCTTGTAATCTGAGCCAGCACTACAGGAAGAGGCCCTGAGCAGCAAAGGGAAGTTCTCCCCAAGCATAAGAAGACATGAGGATTTAAAAGGAAGAGCAGCAAAGAGAAGGGAAACAACCATGGATTGAAAGGCACACATTACAGTATTGGTTTATGTTAAAAAATCTGAGGGTTTAATGTCACTTTAAGTTAAACCTTCATAGGTTGGCACAAAGCAAAGTGACCCCCGTAGCTGCCTAGCAGCATACTCTGCTGTCACATAGTACATGCTTTCCACCGCCCTGGTTTGCCAGTACAGCTTCAAATGATGCTATGGAAATGTTGACATTTGTGAAAGTCACAATTTGCATATGACAAGACGGTAGGAGTAAAGGTACTGTGTGATGCCTGGGGGCAGATTAATTTTTAGGCACACGTTAAACTAATATTTTATTACTTAAAGTGACATTAAACCCTTAGATTTTTTAACATAAACCAATACTGTAATGTGTGCCTTACTGTAATCCATGGTAGTTTCCCTTCTCTTTGCTGCTCTTCCTTTTAAATGCTCATGTCTTCTCATGCTTGGGGAGAACTTCCCTTTTCAGCTCAGGGCCTCTTCCTGTAGTGCTGGCTCAGATTACAAACCTATACAAACGGATACACAGACACCATGTGTCCATTCCTGAGACAAGGCAGTCTGCTGCAAAATAGAAGTTCTGCCCAGCATGAGAACAGACACAGATTCAAAAGGAAGAGCAGCAAAGAGAAGGGAAACTACCATGGATTACAGTAAGGCACACATTACAGTATTGTTTTATGTTAAAAAATCTGAGGGTTTAATGTCACTTTAATTGATGCACATTGTTTACATCACCCATTTAGTCAATATATGGCTACTGCAGCAAGAACTGTGTTCCCAGGCGTTTTCTCACACCAGGCCACCAGGTCTAAGCCTGCAAACCGGAGCTGAATTCATTTTGCTTTAGGTAGGAACATTTCAACAAATTGCCTTGCGACAGGAAGTGTGAGACTGCCAGTTACTTGAAGGCTGAGCTAAAAATATGTAAATTTCGCATAAATGGGTTTACATACATTAAAATACATAAAAACTGATGGGTTTGTAATGGCAGAATATGGCGTGTTAGAGTGCCTGCTGTTGCTATGCAGTGGGCATATTACTTGGATTTCTTTAAATTTGTTACGGGTTTCCCTTTAAAGGTGAATATGTTAAAAATTACAGCAGAGGCACCTTTAGAAATGTTCAGTAATGACAATCTACAAACACATATAATCTTTGCATACCCTATTTTTCTTTTCCTCCCCATTCTTCTCATGGTGCCCATTTCCACGAAGGGATTAATCCATCTTCCTTTACTTCCTGGAAATCTGGGTCTGCCTTCTGGAATATGTGACAGTGTACAATATCTGAGGGGGAAAATACCTTTCTTCCAAGATGACATAAGATTAGGGCTGAAATAATTAATCAACGTAATTGATCGATGATGAGAATTGTTGTCAATGATTTTCATTATCGATTAGCTGATTTAATAAGTTGAATCCGCTGCTGCCCTGCTCACCTAGTTTCCTCCCCGCTGGTGCTGGCTGCAGCAGTCTTTGTCCTTTTTAATCCCCGCTGCTCCCCCCGCTGGTGGCAGAGGCAGGGGGGACACAGACCTCTGCAGCCGGCACCAGCGGGGAGGTGAGACCAGCTGAGCCTCTTCATTCTCTGGCTTGTCTGCTGCCGTCCCCGTGTCTTCTCTGTATTCTCCAGGTTGGCCACTGCCGCCCACTAGCCTCCTTTGTATTCTTCGGCTTTCTTTGCTGCCCCCGCTCCTCCACTGCTGCCCCACACAGGTGTCCCAGTTCCTCAGCTGCTCTCCCTATGCATTTGCTGCTCCCCGTGCCCCCTCTTCTGCCGGCAGTAGAAAGCCGGCGTCAAGTACCCATCCAGCGGCTGGATGACTTAAGTGGCTTTTTTAAATTGCAATAGCAGGCTGGCTGTCAATCAGCAGAGGAGGACCTAAAGGTAGAACTTTTCTCCTCTGTTGATTGACAGGCAGTGGGTGGGTGCAATAGCCAGCCTTCTATTGGCTATTACAATTTAAAATAGCCAATAGCCGGCTGACTATTGCTCCCAGCCACTGCCTGCCGTGTTTACAGCTGTCATTCCCCAGTTAAAACTATTGAAGTGGAAAGGCCTTAAAGAGAACCCGTCATCTCCACGCGCCATCACATAGGGGGCTTGCAAGCTCCCCATATGTGATGGCAATGAAAAAAAAAAAAAGTTAAATTAAAAATGGCAAAAAATAAATAAAATGTTGAAGTCCCCCCAACCCCGCGAACATGGAAAACAAAAGTCGGTACACCTACGTACGAAAACGACGATTGTGGTACACATGTCTGGTATCGCTGCGTGCGCCATACAGAGCAATAATTATCTGGCTAATATTCATGGCTAACTCTAACCTGATGACTGGGCATATATATATATATTCGTCCCAAGTTTGGTGTTATTTAATTATATTGGTTGGAGTTTTAAACTTCAGATTTTTTTAAAATCCATGAAACTAATTGAAATGTCTAATATACATACAATTATTTAAAAAAAAATCTGGGAAAAGCTTTGCCTTGACAAATTCTGCTGCGTGATGTGCTTTGTGGCGCCATTCATTTCAATGCACCCCAAACACACCTCCTGCCTATAGTGCAATCCTGCAATGCCGTGCATTGCAGTGCGATTGCAAAAAAATGTGCATGCAGTTTTATTCTAAAGTAAATTGTGTTTTTAACTCTCCACTGTATTTTATTTTAAATAAAATATGGTATTTAATATTTTTATTTTATCTGATTGAAAATAAATTCGTCCACCTAATCGATTATAAAAATAATCATTAGTTGCAGCCCTCTGTGAGATTTTGCAGGCCAGCTTGTTGGCATATGTACGAAAATCGATGTTACTTGTGTTTTTTTTCATCCGCTGCCATTGAAATCTAGAGGCCAGAAACGCTTGCAGATGCACCAACAACTCAACCATACTGATTCCAGAGCATGGCAGCACAGTGCACTGGTGTATACGGGCCCTATAGAAGTTAATGACAACCCTCTTGTCGCACGTTGGGAATGCGTGCTAAACCACAGGGGCCTTAATGTTTTCATACTAAAAATATTTGACTTCTGTTTTAAATGCAGGGGAACACCTGCATTTCAGTGTTTTTTTTTTTGTTTTTTTTAATGTTTGCTTTAGTTTTAGGCAGAAAATGTTCCCTACTTAGACCAAAAAATTAATGTATTGCAAATGCATTTGATTTTTAGTGTTGTTGGCTATTACTTTGCCACTCACCCACTGAGTAACCTTTTAAAACATGTTTTCCTTTTGAATTTCAAGTACAGCGCATTGCCGTCCTGTGCACCACTCATTGGGTCAGACCTGGATATCAGATGATATTGTCTGGCACATGAACGTTTGTGTTTTTCTTTGGAGTTCTTCAATGAGATTGCCTTACCTGCTCTATTTCTTTACATGTTTCCTTACAAAGCTCAGATGAAATGCAGCTTTGCTGTGTTTTTTTTTTTTCTTCCTGCGCTCTAACTATTGTTTTGTTGTTTTGTAGCCTCTTTACAACCAGCCTTCAGACACAAAGGTTTATCATGAAAACATCAAGACGTAAGTATGCCTCAGTCATTCCTACAAAAATACACTCTGCTGTAATTACCAGCAAATCAAATACAATCAGGGAGATTTCTGTAATACAGGGTAATGTGCACATGATTGCCTGCCAGAAAATGTTAGTAGTCAATAGTTTAAAGTGCTTTAAAGCACATAGGTGTATGCAGAGCACGCTCTATACTTTTCCTGTAATGTACCTAAAAGCCCAGCTATGTTGGTTGCTCTTTCCCAGCTAAATGCTGCAATGCAGATGCTTCACACAACGGCACAAACTGATTTGTTGGTTCCCTCCATCTGCATGCCTTACCATTGTCTTTTATCCAAGATATCAACCTTGGCTTTCCAAATCTGCATGCTGATTTTAGTCATTTGATTTGTTTTCAGTATATTTACCATTTGCTTAAAGGAAAACGCATGAATTTGTGTGTTTTTTCTCCACATAGTTTTCCTTTAAAGTCCTATAAAGAGCAGGCATGCATGCCACCATTGTCTATACCTTTTTTCTTTCCTTCTCCCAGGTTCCACTAAATTTAGGCACACTTAGCATAATGAGTGACATTCAAGTTGTTACTGTGGCATCCCTCTACATCAGGGATAGTCGACCTTTGCCCTCCAGTTTTGTTGAAACTACAAATCCCACTATGCTTCTGCCTCTGGAAGTCATACCTGTGACTGTCAGAATCTTGTAATGTCTTATGTGATTTGTCTATGTGCCACTCAGGAACTTTGATACTCTATATACAGTACTGTGCAAAAGTTTGAGGCAGGTGAACAAATGCTGTAAATTAAGGATTTTTTCAGAAATAAGTGTTAATATTTTATTTTTATCAATTAACAAAATGGAAAGTAAATGAACAGAAGAGCAAATCAATATTTGGTGTGATCAACCTTTGCCTTCAAAACAGCATCAGTTCTTCTAGGTACACTTGCACACAGTTTTTAAAGGAACTCGGCAGGTAGGTTGTTCCAAACATCTTGGAGAACTAACCCCAGATCTTCTGTGGATGTCGGCTGCCTCAAATCCGATCATGTCTGCTTGAAAGACTGACAGGCATAGCTGATCGAACCGGCCGTGTGAAAGGGAGCAAATAGGTACTTACTGCAGGCTCGGCATTCCCATTTGCCTACGCATCAGTGATGTCACCCAGCCTTCCTAAAGCATCCTGGAAACTTGAGGGTCCCAAATCTTGTTGGATAACAGTCCAGCACTCTGCAGATTCATGTGAAGTTTGGGATCCTCTGGTTTTACAGGAGGCTGTGTAAAAAGGACTAGCACCTCCAACGCACACACACACTCCCCCCCCACCCCCCAAACCCCCCTTTATTTGCTTATGGTTGGGGGAGATAATTAGTAGAGATAGGGGGTCTATTTTAGTGCAAGATCTACTTCAAATGTATTAATAAGGCCAGAAGTTTTGTTTTACCATAGGGAATTGAAAGTACAAAAAAAATAATAATGCCAAGGCATTTTTCCTATCTCCTCCACAGAGGGATTCTTGAACTGCTGCCTAGAAGTAGAGAAAAATTAGTTTTTGGGGGAAAAAATGGAGCTCCCTGACAGAGGGAGCATACAAAATTCATGCAGATATTGTCTTTAGTTAGAATTGATTTTAGGATTCTATAGTTGCATAACAATAGTAGTTCTTGCCCCACTGTTCTGTCTGTATTAATTGTAATTAGAATTTATATGTGCATTAGAAAAATGCACATGAATAACCTACTTTTCAAATCCTATATAGGGTAAGTTTAATGCTTTATTAATTTTCCATTTCTCTCATGTCATTATTATCATTATTATTATACAGGATTTATATAGCGCCAACAGTTTGTCAGTTCTCATAAGTTCTCAGTTTGTCAGTTTTATTAGGTATGTACATTAATCTATAGCTGTGAAATTAGTTTCTAGTAAGTTTCAAATTAAGCTAATTAGATCAAATTGAATTTTAAATGTATAATTTTCTTCTTGAAGGCTACTCTTTCCATTAACGATGTATGTATTTCTTGGATATAACATTCTGAAGGTCTGCAGTTGTGATATTGCAGATGGCACCCCAACACACTATAGAAATTAGTTGCAACACATCACAATGTACAAGAATCCACTATTGTGCATTCTGAAGCGCGGTGTCATCAGACCTGGTGCAAGTCTGATTTTTTTACTATGGTGCATTGGCAGCCAATTCAAATCAGCAATACTGCATCAAAATAGCTAGGTGTAACCCTTTACCCTTACCCTGCCCTTTACCCTGCCTTTACAGGGCCAACTGCCCTGCAGTTGAAAATGAAAACTGTCAGGAGCATTTGTTAAGTGGTACTGGCACAGTGGGTTCCGTGACTTTAGAGTACATGATCAGTGAACACATGACAGATTTAGTTCCTTTCCCATGTTTTATGGCTTGGGTTAGATTGATTTCCCAAGTAAGGTCTTGTTTCTCTGCTTTGCCTTTACAGAAATCAGGTTATGAGGAAGAAACTGATCTTATTTTTCAAGAGAAGAAATCATGCTAGAAAGCAAAGGGTTTGTATATATTTTTGTTTTTAGAATTTTGCAAAGACATTCTATTCATACCCGTATTTGTTTTAATTAAGAACTTTATTAGCTTTATTTATGTATTTTTTTATTGGCAGTCCTAATGACTGCTTGCCTTATTGAGTATATCAGTTGACCTGTGTTCTTTCTTACAGGAACAGAACATTTGTCAGCGTTACGATCAGCTGATGGAAGCTTGGGAGAAAAAAGTGGATCGGATAGAGAACAACCCCCGGAGAAAAGCAAAGGAGAGCAAAACCCGGGAATACTACGAGAAACAGTTCCCAGAAATTCGAAAACAGCGAGAACAGCAGGAGAGGTTTCAGAGGTGCCATCTACAAACAAAGTAGTCAAAAGATACCTTTTATTGTTGTCTGTGTGCATCCATAACAAAGCCATTTTATGGCTGTTATTAACCTACCGTTTTAGCCAAATGTTTAGGGGTGTGCATTGAGGAACCTGGTCTTGGGGCAGCAGAGAGAGTAGACTGCTAACACAATATGTACTGATTTATTGTATAACCACTAGCTCGTTAATCTCAGTGAATGGATATCTGGGTGTGGAATTCCTGACACTTATCTGAAATCTGCCTAGGGGAAAAACAAAGAATATACGGTACCGCTTTCCCTAAACTAAAGGATAGAATAGGCACCTGTGGTAGTGCTCTTCCTAAGTATCTATGAAGGCATCTTTATCCACAGCAAGGCCATATGGAGATTTTCAGATGGGAACTCAAGGTGTTGCGGGCCTCAGATCTCCCAGGAACTTTTAATTTGAGCCTCTAAATGCCTTATGGGCCCCTTTTTACTTATGATAATTTGCATGTTGTATTTATTATGCTCTGGCTGCTAAGGCAATATTCATACTAAATTCACAAGTCTGTTAGATTATGTAAATACATGTCCACTAGACACATATTTTGGTATGCTTTTTTTTTTCTTTTTCTTTTTTTAAAGGGATGCACCAAAATGTTGAAAATGGTACTATGGGCAAAATGCATATAGTACCCCCAAAAAATGGTTGAAAATGCATTGCATCCCCTGTGATGGTCGGAGAGGACACAGAGCCGATCCAGCTGCCAGCGCTCAGCAGGGAGGAGAGAAGCTGTCAGGAGGCCGGGTGGTGTAATGTGGTGGGAGGAGAGCTGTGAATGAACAGGAAGCTTCTGTACTGAGTGTTTCCTGTTCATTGAGTGCTGGGGCTGCAGAAAAAGAGATTGAGTACTCAGTGTGCTCAATTTCTTTTTCTATTTTAAAAGAGCAATAGAAATCTGTTTAGACCCCTGGTATTTCCCCAAGACCCCTAACAGTAAAAAATCATTTTTAAAAGGTTGAGAAAAAAGTCATTTGATTTCGGCCTGACAATTTTTAAAGTTTCCCTCCTAAAAATTTCATTTTGTTGCATCCCTACTTTTTTTTTTTTTTTACATGTGCTCTGGTATTGCTTTTTCAGGAAAATGGAGTTCAGTGTGAGCGAGACCCAACGTTGGCCAACAAGACCAATCGTTGGCCAACAAGACCAATCGTTGGCCAACAAGACCAATCGTTGGCCAAGTTCAAACTATTTTGAACACTTTTTGATCAGAAAAGCGAACTGTAGAGATTAAAACATAACAGACATTATCCATGCCCTATCAATGTAAATATATAACTTGATATTTGCTAGGACATTGCTCTATGTGTCCAGCATTAAAGTAGTTTGGATTTGTTTGGTTCTGATTTAAGTTGGCAGAACTGGGTGCCAATAAGGTATATGGTGAAAGGGCATTTGGTTGGATTGTCTTTTGCCGATAATGCATTGAAACCTGTAAGGGAGGCATGATTAGGAGTATCTGCTGAGCCATAGACATGCATGCTTATAGAGTATATGCATGCATGTTTATTCGCCTATCTAGCACATGAAACCCCATCTGATGTTTACAGGTAGTTTAATTTCTGATTGACAGGCTGAGTATTCAGCACAGTTGTATTATGAGATGTATGTTTAGTTGTTGTAATACATTTTGCTTTTAGTGATGTATGATGGTGTTGGAACATGTTTTCACTATGCATCATACAAAGGAAATGACGGAATCATTTATTTCAGAGTCGGTCAGAGGGGTGGTGGTTTATCTGCAACCATCGCCAGGAGTGAACATGAGATCTCGGAAATCATTGATGGTCTGTCGGAGCAGGAGGTGAGGTCATTGTAAAGTCTGTTTCAGGTTTAATACTATCAGTAAATCACAAGTTAATTTCTTAATGAAACTCTTCAAAGCATGCTATTGCCTTTGGCTAGTCCGTTTCCTCTTTTCATATGCCAGCGGAGTCTTGAATCAGAAAAGGCTTCTAATTTGGTTCAGATTTTCCATGTTGTGTCTCTTTGAAATAATGTAGCAGAAAGACTGTACATGTTGTGCATTTTAATTGCTAGAATCCATGAAATTGCAAATCAAACTATTGTGCTTAATGGAGATCTTCAGTGAAACCTCTCAACTGCAGTAAATAAAGGGAAAGTTTAGGTCCTAACTTCAGTACAAAAAGTGCCAAAACTATCCCTTTGTAAAGTACATGTTTAAACTGTGAAGCAACGACCAATTTCCTTTAGAAGTTGCCATTTTGCCAGACGTGCTGATCCATGTGGTTCAATTTGTACAGAAGCAGACCCAGAGAAGGGTATACAAGTCAGGAGCTACAATGCAGGTTGTTGCACACTTGTTTTGGATCAGCATTACAAATCGAGAACCACCAAATTTATAATAAGAGGGCAGTGATTGTGCAGGCCTTTCTCTTATGACATTTTTTCTCAGAGGAGGACCAAGAGGAGACTCTCCCTGCATCCCAGAGAACAATGTCATGTTATTGTTTATCTGCAGCCTTGAAGCAGTCCTCATCTGTCCTACAGATTAAAATGATGTAAATGAATAAATGGCACTCTCACACCAGAACTACTGATGTAGCACTGCTGTGCGTCACGGAAAACATCCTCAAAAATACCTGTTCTGTGTATCAATAAATGTGTAATACTACCCATGCCAAATACATAATTTCCTTGGGAGATCTGTAGAGATAGTTTACTTGTCGTTTACTGATAGACATGTTCTTCTTTTTAGAATAATGAAAGGCAAATGCGACAGCTCTCTGTCATTCCACCCATGATGTTTGATGCAGAGCAGAGAAGGGTGAAGTTCATTAATATGAATGGTTTGATGGAAGATCCGATGAAGGCCTACAGAGATCGGCAGTTCATGAACGTGTGGACAGACCATGAAAAAGAAACATTTAAAGAAAAGTAAATTTTATTTATTAATGCAGACTAGAAAATAAAACGTACACGATAGATTTTGTTAAATTTAAGAACGTTAATGTGTTATTTATTAAGAACAAAGTGATCTGCGCCAATACGTAAGTGTTAAAAGCTTCTAAGCACTCTAAAAACATCAAGTATATATATGGTGAAATAAATATAAATAAAACCTATAAGCCAATACAAAACAGCTGTGTATATACAGCACATTTCATAAATCATGCATGCAATCTCATCCACATGTAAAGTGCTAAGCAGAAATAGATGTGTGCGACTCCTTAGTGCATAAATAATCCAAAAATTGTCAATAGCGAAAATGAAGTGCTGCAAAGTTCAAAAAGTGTAATAAACACACATATAGCGTTGTCCACATGTGAAAGTCTATCTCCAAAGTATCGAAAGAACACCGATCTGATGTCTCTTTCAATCCTTCACCGTGCATACCCATTGAACACACATGTACAGAGAGGTGCTCACCAGATGTTATGGACCCACAATGTCGGTCTCACTGCGCAGTTCCCTTCTCAAAAAGGGGAGGGAAACCCTTAATGCGATTGAAATTAAATCTTCTCCAACCAACACAGGAATCACCATACCCTTGAAAGAGATAAACAGAAAAAACACAACGCGTACAATTTTGAGAAAATAATCTATTATTAAAAAGGTTCTCACATAAAAACATTAGAAACGGGCATGTAGCATCATTCACTCTCTGGCAGGGGGAATCCCAACAGTAGTTTGAGAGGAGATACGGTAATAAGGATCCCGTCCTCCCGGCAGGTTTACCTGTGGACGTAGTGACGTTAGATGCTCCGCTTAATGCGCATTACGTCCAGCGTGACTTGGTCAGGGGCTGCCTTTTCACACTGTGCTGGAAAAACTGGAGCAGGACCTACATTTTTTGTGCATTCATCAACATTACAGCCCAGTCAATATGAATAGGCTTTAGATTGTAAGCTTTCGCAAGCAGGGCCTTCCTGTTGTCTTGTAACTGTACTGTCTCTTCCTTTATATTGTAAAGCGCTGCGCAAATTGCTGGCAATATAAAAACAGAAATCCTGTGTAATAATACTGTAATGCTCCTCAATGCAATCTGGAAACACGTGCAATGTACTGCAGCATATTCTGCTGTCAATGGGCCCTATGAAATCCTGTCGCGAGTTGTTGCCTTTAATGGGATTACTGACAACCTGTCATTTAATGATTGAGATTCCTTTTAAATGCTCATTCCTGACTTGTAGAAATTGTAACAATAAGTGTGATCACTGAAAACACTTTCCTTTTCAATTGTAAATGGCTTATATTCGGGTCAATACTTTTTCCCAGTTTTTTTGGCTAAAATTAGGTACCTCGGCTTATATTCGGGACGGCTTATACTCGAGTATATACGGTAACACAAATGTATTACCTGCATGTTACTAATCTGCTGCAAGGTTTCCTATATTGTCTTTTCTTGATTTTTTTTTTTTTTTTCAGATTTGTACAGCATCCTAAAAACTTTGGTCTGATTGCTGCTTGTCTGGAAAGAAAGGTATTACTGCCACTTCTAGTGTATGTTTGTGTGGGTGTTTACTATAAACATTGGTAAGTTTTTGCATACCATAGATACAATTGGCAAAAATGTCCCCCATAATTCTCCACCTGTCTGCCTTCATCTTGTTTTTGAACATACACAACTTAGACATTGCAAATTTACATCAGCCCCTTTAGAGTTCTGCAAAAAATTTTTATCTTATTTTATTCAACAAATTTCATATTTAACTCTTAATAAATCTGCATGTATTTCTTTTTAGAGGGAGATAACACACACTTCGTATCACTTTCTTATTTCTCAAACTTTCTCCTTCATTCAAGCAATATTCCATGCACATCTATTTCTTTCCTTTATCTCATTTTTATCAAGGTGTTCCCATTCAAATCCCTCTAACTAACCTTTAAAAATAACTTAACCCCACACCCAACATGGCTTCTTCAGAACTTATATCAGTGAACAAAGTGCAAATCATTTATCATTATATGGTGTTAATCTAATTTTTGGTAGAGAATAGTGTGGGCAGACTGACAGTAAGTTATTACAATTCCCTTTCCACTGTTGCTATTTAGATCAGGTCTCTGATTATTTCACCCCTTTGCTACTTCCCATATTGGTGCCATTGTGTCCCTCAGTGATGTATTTCTACATTTTGTTTCCTTTTTAGAGTGTTGCCGATTGTGTGTTGTATTATTATTTAACTAAGAAAAATGAAAACTTGAAATCTCTTGTAAGAAGAAATTACAGCAAGCGGAGAGGACGAAACCAGGTATGTTTTGCAAAAATTAATTAAGTCAAATGTACATACCAATAGAGCACAAAAAATAAGTATCTGAACACATGCAGGGACACAATCCCTGTACCCATGTCTTTTTTATTTTTGCATTACATTTGTAGCCCAGACCACCATCAGCAAAATGCTACGGTTGCTGTTAAATACTTGATCTGAGGCTCAAGCCTTGATCTGAGGCTCAAGCATGTGAATATTTAAACCAAGAATCCATCAGTTACTCGGCACATTTTTTTTTTTGTCTGTCTAACTTGCATAAAGTGTATTTTTTGCTCTACTGCTTTTGGAATTTCTGATACATTTCTTCAATAGTTTGTAGTCTCCAGTCCCTATCTTCAAATCTCCATACCTTCTAGGGCATGAGTCATGTCTGTGGCTGTCAGAATCTTGCAATGCCTCATGGGATTTGTAGTTCCACCACAGCTGGAGGGCCGGAGGTTTGCTACCCCTGTTCTAGGGTCATACATGCATTGGAACCTGTTCTGGAGGGGGAACCCACTTGTCCTAACTGGTTATTTGACAGCTGTGAAAGTAACCTCTTCGGAGGCAGCATTTACAAAATTTTAAACCCATTACACCAGTTGGCCACCGTTTGTCCTTCATGTAGCTAGTCTGTGACTTATCTTTTAGCCCTGAAACCGCTTGTTCCGGATATTACATGTTATTTTTTATTTATTTCTTTTTTTATGCTGTAGGGTATACATTTTAATAGTGATTGTTTCTGATAGTGATTGTTTCTGCTATGTGGTCAAACAAATACTAATAATTCATATATTTTAGGGATGCATATTGGCCGAAAATGGCACTTGCCGAAAGTGCCATTTTCCTGCCGATACATCGGCGCATCCCTGCTTTCTTTCCTCCCCACTTGGGGCTGCTCTGTGTCCCAGCAGGGAGGAGAGAAAGTGTGACAGGCTGCCGAGCGCTGCAGGAGGAGAGCGCTGTGAGCTGCCGGCGTCTCCTCCCACACCGCTCAGCCTCCTATCACAGTCCGGCAGAGCGGTGTGTGGGCGGAGACTGCCCAAGCTGTCACAGGAGGCTGGGCTCTCCACCCTACACCGCTCGATCAGCCTCCTGTGACAGCGTGTCAGAGAGGAGAGCAAGGTACACACACTTAGCGATCAGTGATTGCTGAGTGTTTGTACATAATTGAGGGCATGGTATTTTTTTTTTTTTTTAATCAGAAGTCAACTTTATTGTACATCTGCACGGTACAATGATACAAGGAGGTCGTGCCTCCAACACAAGACAACATCCTCCATACGAATCTCGAGTATAGTATAAGTACATAAAACACGGTACATTGCAGAGTACACTTGAGAGGATTATGCGGTTGCAAACAAAGCAGACAATATATAGCCATGATGGCTGTATAGTGCAAAAGAAAAAACGTAACAAAGTGTTGCGATGAGCAAATCCGATGTAGTGCACGAACATGTAAAAAGGAGTTATGCTGGTCCTATGTGGCATCAGGTATTAGAGTAAGTACGATCAGGCAGTCACACTTGAGGTTAATAGTGTTCCCTATCGCATATATACAGGTATATAAAATGTTTCAAGTGTTTAGCGTCAATGGGGAGAAAAGGGGAAGAAGGGTGGGGGGTCAGGAATGGGAGAGGAGCAGACGGAGCAGGTAAAGGGGAAGAGGGGAAAGGAAAGAGAGGTGCAGCAGGGAATGAGGACATGGTATGTTAACTATATCCTCAATTATGAATGAATGGGAATGATCTACATCACCTCCTGTTCATTCATAGTTGTAGTTATAGTAAACGTACCATGTCCTCATGTTATCAATGAACAGGAACACTCATAGAGGATTCTATGGGTAGTAAAACACATTTATTGATACACAGAACAGGTGTTTTCACTCAGAGGATTCCTGTTAATTGATAACGGGATACAGAAAGAGATTTTGTGTCCTAAATCTCTTTTTCTATTTTAAAAGGGAAATATCAGGGGTCTGCTTAGACCCCCAATATTTCCCCAAAGCCCCTAAAAGTAATGTAAAATATTTATTAAAAAATGAATTAATAAAAATAAATTAAAAAGTTTATAAAATAAATTAAAATTAAATATTTGAAAAAAAAACATTTTCGGTTTCAGCCTGAATTTTTAATTTTTTAAATTTTGGTTTCGTTTCGGTTTTAACATTTTAATTTCGGTGCACCTCTAATATATTTATATGAAAAGTGTAAAAACATATAATGAGATTGTATGTTGCTTATGGTAATTGCTACACTCATGAAGTGGCTGGAATAAAAGAATAAGAATAACCGATTATCGAAATCTACATTGGTCTGTGCATGATGGGGGTATTTGTGTGGAAATTGAACGAGGGTGCGATGACGTGACAAAATAAATTGAAAGATGATTGTAAGGTGTATGACCAGCTTTACAATGCTTCTGAAGTTGGCCATATGCTGTGTGAATTTTGGATGGTTGTTGATGATCAGACGAAATTCCTTCCATGAGTTACCCTGTTGCCCTGGTACCCTTCCCAACGGCATTGTTTGATAGGAAAATCGAAGGAGCCAGTCAGAAAATTTTCTGGCAGGCAGTGATGGCAGACAATCAGCTGCTGTCTCTGTTCGGGTATTCTTACATGGGCACAATGCCACTGTCTGGAAACAACAGCCCAGCAAGAGATTTGTCCATCCACGCATTCATTCAACAAAAAACAATTCGCATTCGCTGCAGGTAAATAGATCAGTGTGATTTAAAACACATGCACCAGAAAGATTTCCTTGCACTGAATGTTTAGTGAGGGCCGGTGCACACCTAGGCAACACTCCACCGCGCGGCAATCGTGCACGATTCCTCCCAGATTGCCGCACAGTCAGGAGTCGCCCAGGTGTGCACCGATTGCGATGTGGGTGCCAATATTTTCCAATGGCACCCCAGTCACGCGTACCGTGTATCCCAGAAAAAAAGGTTTTAGCCGCGGGGCTGCCATTGGAAAATAATGGCTCCCACAGCGCCATCGGTGCACACCTAGGTGACTCCTGACCGCGCAGCAATCCACGCAGAATCGTGCATGATTGCCCCACGGTGGGGTGACGCCTAGGTGTGCACCGGCCCTGAATGTCATATTCATTGCTTTTATTAACATGCCCCTTATTTTCTAGAAGTTATACGCAGGTTTTAATAACTCCTGGTCACGATGTGAGCACAGAGATGAGCAGTAACCCATGTTAAACTTACACAGATGAAGATTTTTGCCTTCTCCGCAGCAAGGAAAGCATGCACTTGGAAGAACGTGTTGATAGCAACCATCACTGGCCTAATGGCTTGTTGCCCTGTCTATACGAGGCGGCGTAAAGTCATCCCCTTATTTCTTTTTTTTTGCAGCAGGTGGCACAACCCTATGGTCTGACTAAACAGAAACTTGCCCTGCTGTTGTTGCAGCCAATCAAGCTGAGCTGAGAGGGGGGGGGGATTACCTTGAGTAACCCTTGTGAGATTAGTTGCTTGCATGTGAGATGGACAACTCTTCTCTAGGCAGCTTAAGTGGCAGAATGACACAATTTCCTGGAATAAACATGCTGCCGGGTCAGGCAACTCTTGTACGGAGGACAGCGATGCCTGTACAGTTGTGCCCCCGCGTGCATTTTATCCCTGTGAGATTCAGCCGGGGGCCAAGACTTGTGCTTCTGTAAAGGTGGCAGAGAAGATTGCACATGAACAGATGAAAGTGCAGGTGTGTGATGGCATGGGGGGGGAGTGCATGGGTTGGTTTGTTCTTGGGTTGCTGATCTTTAGAAGGGTATTCGTGTCAGATCTAGTGAAGAAGCCAAGGATAAACTGCGTATTTATGCTGCAGCAGAACCTCATGACTTACACATAAGGCAGCTGTCGCAGTGCTATCTGGGGAAGCAGCTGATGTAACGCAGGGGCATCCGGATGTGATCAGCATTAATATTCTGAGGCCAAGGCCCGAAATCTGGCACATACTCAAAAGTTCCTGTATTAGCAAGCAAAACGATGAGCAGGGCTTCTGTATTGCATTCAAGTAATGTTTATTAACCACTTCAAGACTTTGCACGTATGCGCCCCTGACGCATGTATGCATGCGTGTATGGGTGGGGACTTTAAAAAATTATTTATTTATTTTTTTATTCTTTTTTATGTGTAACTTAACATTTTTT